GAGGAGGAATCTTTATGCATGAGGGTGGAGGCGTAATTGTAAGGATAGCCATTCCTTTTCCTTCTAGGTTTGTGGTACAGGGAGTGAGTGCTGTTATCAGGAGATTGCACAGTGCTCAGGGAGAAGTTGAGGATGATGGACGTGTGCTCACTTTGTGTTGAGGGCACTGGGGAGAATGGTGTCAAGGTCGGGAAGGAGGTAAGTGTGGAAAGATGAAGGGAAGAAGGGACGGAAGAGCAGAGAAATGGTATTGGGAGGAGAGTGTGGACAACACAGAGAGAGATTATTGGGATGGTTTTGATGTGAGGCTGTGGCCAAGGATAACATGGACATAGATCTACCAGGTTTCAAGTAAAACTTAAAGTGTCACCACTCCTGTGCAGTTCCCAAAGATCCTGATGCCACCTACTCTGATGGTCTTGGAAGCTGAATGATGCTGGCAGACTTGTGCTTAGATTTAAAACCAGAACACTGGGGGGGAAGTATGGCTCTGAGAAAATCTCAGGCAGATGGGGTTAATTAGTGCAATATTTTAGAAGTTTGAAGCAGCATCAGTTTTAAATGACCAAAGGTAAAACTCTAGATGGAGGCCGGGCGCGGTGGCTCACGCCTGTAATCCTAGCACTCTGGGAGGCCAAGGCGGGCGGGTTGATCGAGGTCAGGAGTTCGAAACCAGCCTGAGCAACAGCGAGACCCCGTCTCTACTATAAATAGAAAGAAATTAATTGGCCAACTAATATATATAGAAAAAATTAGCCGGGCATGGTGGTGCATGCCTGTAGTCCCAGCTACTTGGGAGGCTGAGGCAGTAGGATTGCTTGAGCCCAGGAGTTTGAGGTTGCTGTGAGCTAGGCTGACGCCACAGCACTCACTCTAGCCTGGGCAACAAAGCAAGACTGTGTCTCAAAAAAACAAAACAAAACAAAAAAACTCTAGATGGAGCCAGCTATGAACTAAATTGTTCCAAATCCCTTCTTCGTTAAAAAATGTTGATAGGATTCACGTTTATGTTGGGAAACCCTCTCCGAGGAACTGGTAGAAATTATTATATAGGAAATTGATCACATACTTCTTTAGGATGTCTTTACTCATTCATTTCTTTATTTGCTTAGTCAAATAGTTCACTCAATCATTTATTGAAACATCGATTGCCTACAACTATAGACTACCCAAAGTCACAAATAACTTTCTACAGACACAGTTTTAAGCCATTACCAAATGTTTAGGAACTTTAGAGTGTTGGTCAAATATACAAACTCTGAGGAGGAAATCAAAATAATCTGCTACTTAAACAGGCTCTCTTTGTACTTGAGATCACAGGATTACAAAGCATCTAAAGTAACTAACCCCTTCACTCAAGCCATGTACTAGACATTGAATTTAACAAAATATTTTTTAAATGATCTTATATAGTTCCCTATGTTTTATGCTTCCTGTGGTGTTTGTGACACTTTCCAGTCAGTGCAGGTGGCCAAAAAACAGGTCTTTACCCAGTCTGGAGGTTTGCTCAACCTACCACCTGCTTCAGACCCAGAAAAATTGACTGAACCTTTCTCCTTTGCCATTTGGAAAGACAAATCTCAGTCTATATTTCCATACACCTTAGTGGGAGGGAGACATATTATTAGCGTTATTCCTGGCCTAGCATCCACTGAAACATGGAACTTAGAATTTTCTCCTTGATTCTCTCCCTCAAGGCACCCACAAATACCAGTTCACAGCATGCAGGAAAACTGAAACTGGAAATGTGCAGGTTATAGGAAGAAAGTACAGCAAACATCACACACAGACAATGTAAAAATCATTGAGAGAAGATACTAGAGATATTGACATCTCTAGTATCATAAACAAATATTTCTGTTCCCATAAGTCCTTTTAATCACCCAGAGGAATCCTGTTGGCCTATTACCTAGCTTTCTGATTTCTTAATATCTTCTTTCCCTTTATCTTTTATTTCTCTTTATCATTCTTTTGTCCACTTTTTCCCTTGAAGAAATAAAATCAAAGCAAAATAAACAAATAGATTTTTCTTATTTCATAGACAGCAATTTAGTTCTGTTATTTGAAATATGATTTCCAAGTCTCATATTTTGCTCTTTATAACTTATCAAAACCTTTTCTTAAAGAAGAAAAGTTCTCTTTGGTAAAGACTACTGGTATTAGTAGAATATATATATACACTATATATATATATTACCTATTACATTTCCATTTTGTTTTACAAAAGCTAAGTACTCTAGCATGTTGAAAGCTTGTTATGACTGTGTATGAAAAGGCACAAGCCACAGTTTCCATGTAGCATCATATTAATAAGCATAAGGTGGATGAATCTGTGGAATTCCAGTTTGTCTTTTCATAAACTCTCCTGGATGTCACTTTTTTATTTAGTTCTTATTCCTGTTACTACTACATCCTTGGTGTTACAAATTGGGATATTCTGTCTCTTGAAAAATTATTTGAATATTTTTCATGGATACTGGCAATATATAAAGTTGTGTTTATGCATTGACAAATATATGTTGAACACATACTATGTGCTATTCCTTAGGGAAATGGAATGAGTTGATAGTCTACAGACTGGGAGACCAAGGAGCATGCAACTAAGATGCAGTAGCCTGAAAAAAATGCATTTTTGCAATGAGTAGTTATTGAATTGAATGTGGCAAAGTGGTTCTCTTGAGGGCTCTTTAGATATTTCAAATGTGATCATTGCATCCTTTAACTAGCTGATGTGGCTTCAAGCTGGCCACATGGTCCTGACATGTTCAGGACCACTAGATAGTGATCTTGCTTGTGTGGTTAACTGAGTTCTTCACTTTGTGGAACTTTGTTTCACTTAAACATCAAGGTTTTAAAATTGCATTTCCTACTTTCGTAGCATGCCGTAAGACTGGAATCCAGAGGCTAATCTCTTTTTACTGATGTCAAACTTAAATTTGTTTTGGCAAAATTATTCTTTATTATAAGAAGTATAACTTCCTAACTTTACATCAAGAATGCATTCCAAGACTTGAATGAAAGGTATCTTTAGGATACCTTGGCTAAAAACCAAACCAAAACCGGACCGGGTTATTTAGTTTTCTTACAATAAATTCTGTACCCAAACAACTTATTCCATAGCTAGGTATAATTACATGGACTACAGATTTATCCGATCAGAAAATTTATCAGATCATCTTTTTTTCAGTTTCTTTTTAACCATACCTTCCAATGACATAGGCAATGCCATGATATCAGCCAACCTCAGCCTTTGTTTTGACAGATGCTTCTCGACTTACACTGGTGTTACATCCTGATCTATCAGACATGACAGATCAGGCTATAGCTTGGCCTAGCCTATCTTATATGTGTTCAGAACACTTACATTAGCCTCTAGTTGGGCAAAATCATCTGACACAAACCTATTTTATAATAAAGTGTTGACTATCTCATGTAACTTATTGAATACCATACTGAATGCATATCACTTTTGCACCATCATAAAGTCAAATTAATCATTAGGTCAAACCATCATAAATCGAGGAACATCATCTGTGTTTAACAGATACCCTAGGGACTGTTAACAAGGAAAAATGTTGTCTTTCTGCTTTCACTTAATTAAATTAATTCAATTCACTTCACTCATTCATTCAACAAATATTTATTAAGCACCTACAATATGCCAGGCACTGTGCTGGGTGCTGGGGATACAACTGTGAACAAAATAGACACAGTCCCTGCCCTCAAGGAGCTTACAGTCTAGTAGTTATGCAGACAAGAAGTACACAGGCAATTACAACGCAGTATGGTAAGTGCCGTGACAGGGAAAAACATTAAGAAGGGCACCTAACTCGGGTTCATAGACAGGGGGCGGTGGAGAGTCATGGAAGTCTTTTCAGGGCAAGTAAAATTCCATTTGAATGTTGAAGGATGAGTACAAGTTAGTCAGGGAAAGAGGAGACAGGGAAGAGTTGTGGACTGAGGGACTAGTATATGCAGTGTTCCATGTGCTGCTTTGGAGGTTCGTTTGCTGGCGGGAGAAGTCGGATAGGAGCGGGAGAAGTCCTGGAGCAAATAGGCAAGGGCCGGGTCATGAAGGGACTCATTTGCTCTGCTCAAGATTTGGAATTTTTCCTGAGAGAACAGTGTGGGGGGTGTGTGTGTGTGAATATGTGGGTGTGTATATCAGATTTACACTTTTAAAGATCGTTCTTACTGCCCCACAGAGATTGAGTGGCACATGGGGGTCTTGAGAGTTGAGGGAAGGAGATCAATCCTTCACCTTTTCCAACTTTATTTTCCACACTGTCACGCCCTGTGCTCTCACCAGCCCACCTAGTTGTACACATACATTTCTTAAATAAGCCATCGGCATGCAAGACTTTGGGCCACTGCTCATGCAGAAGGCTCTTAACACCACTTCCTCCTGTTAAAACTCAACTCATCCTTCAAGACCAGACTTTTGAAATCATCCTAACTTGTGCTTTCTGCCAAGATCTCTAAGTACGTGATTTCTATCCGTATTAGAGTACTTATTATTTCAAATAAGCTGAACCTTCTTTTGAATCATGTTAATTTAATTCATATATAACATAAGGTAATTTTTATAAATAAACATGAGTGTCTTTGCAATTTTCAGTTGAAAATAAGGACTACTTCTTCATTTACTGTCTACCCCAAACTATTATTAGTGCCTTCAAATGATTTCAATGGAACAACAGGAATGAGGGGAGAAGACCAAGAGACACATAATTTTATGCAGCAAAATACAGTCAAGTAAAATTTCAGTACACGATTACAGGGTAGGTTGCTGTTAGGACAATGATTCATTCCCCTACTCCAAGACTTTGTCTTTGACAATTTTGAATCTGCTAATGAGTCAAAGATCTGAAAAAGAGGGATAGCTTAGTATGCAAAAATAATAAAGGCTATAGCTACATTTTCCAATATGGCCCACCACTTGAATTTCTCAAAGAACTTTTTATAATGATAAGAAAAAAACCTTTAAGCTCTGTAGATACTGTAAGAACATTTGTTGTTTTATTCTTTTTTGGTGGGTACAAAAGCCACAATTTTGTACACGGAACAAGATTATAAATAATATCGATAACATGAGCGACCCATAGTCTCTTTTGAGTCTACATTGCAGACTGGTGATTTAACATTAATGTTTCCTTCCTTTTGTTTCTCTTCCTGGTAGTGAGACAAATGCAATCTGTGAACCGACTCATGTGACAGAGTGAAGGTTACAGCAAACAAGAAGATGACCAACACCTTTTATAAAAAAAAGTCTCTAAAGTTTATTACAGTGATGGCATTTTATATCAATTATTGCAATGTATTGTTCCCTAAGATGGTTAGAAAAAAGAATCGTGTTGTCCTCTACTGAATTTACGTCAGTTAAAAAGCAAGCATGTTTCAGTATTTGTTTTCTCCAAAGTAAGTGTAAATACTTCCTTTAAATTTTTTGTTTTTTTCTTTTCACAGGATTTACATGTTTGTTTATTATTTTCTTATCACAGTTGAGTGATTTGTTTTCTCAGCTGGGTATTCTTCCGTTGACTATATGGGTGTCCTGGAGACACAGGTTAGCATGTTCACCGACTTTTCTAGAACTAGTTTATCCTTTCCGGGTGAAGACGAAGGCCTTTCTTGAGCAAGAAGAAACTTCACAGTTGGATGCGCTAACTCGCAAGTCTGATTAGTTTTTTAAGTCCACTCGAGTGAAATCTGTTGCTGTTAATACACCCATCCCAGCTCCCCCACCCACCCACCCACCCACTCCCAAAAAAAAAAAAAAAAACACCTAAATTGTGAGTTTTCCTGATAGAAAATCTGAGTTTGGGTTTCCGAGCTGAGCTCATGCACACAGTCGCCGCCGCCGCCGCCGCCGTCCGGACGCGCCTCCCGCTCTCAGCCAAAGGGTGGGGCCGCCAGCCCCGCGCCGGGCCTGTCCCCTCGGGGCTGCGCTCCCGTCAGTCACCAACGCAGTTTAATTAAGGCACTCAATTATTTTTTTGGTTTTTATGGTAGGTCCGATGCAATGACAGCCAATCCTGAACTTTGTCTGATTGCAGTTCCAGCGTGCACAGCCTTGGGGCAGTCGGGCGTCAGGACGCGGCCGTTTTCTCCCACGCTCCCGGTGATGGATAACCTGGCTTTGTTTCTTATGGCTTCAGAAAAGGTCAGCTGGGGTGCATGGAAAGGAAACAGAAAAGAATGCGCAGTGTTACCATATTTCTGTTTCTTTCGATGGAATATGGCACAACAAACACCGAAATGTCAATAATTAGACATCTGCATTTTTTTTTTTTCCCCTCCACATATTCTTTTGGTCATAGGAAAACTGCTTATCCTGGGGAAAGCAAAGCTCAGCTACACCGAGGAATGAATCAGGCTAGAGTTTGTGTTAAGAACTAATTCTAAAATTGTAATACTTGAGGTGCTGTTTTAGCAAATCCGGGCAGGAAACATCTTTTGACTTGCTGCACTCTCTACCCTGAACTTAAAAGCTCCTTTGTGTTTGATACCATTCTTTAAATCATATTTTTTTTAGAAAATGTCTTCTTTACAAGTGCAAGGATTAGACCCTTAAAATTGTGGTAAATTGCCTGAACGAACTAAATGTATATAGACCACTCATGACAGATCTTCCTGCTTTCATAACACAGACCTACCCACAGACGCTTCCATTCATTCACACCAGTTATAGACATGACCCAGAACAGCACAGTTAGTGACATGTGGTTCATGCTATGTCTATTATGGAAGGTAAAGTTGGTATTTTAAGAATTGTGTTTAAAGGGTGCACTGAAAGGGGGCATTTTTTTAAAGCCTACTGAATGGTCATCAGTAAGGAATACTGAGGTTGTGGGATCAGGTCTCTGGAATCATCCAATTCCTGTTCTCTGTCATATTAGATAGCAGATAATAATATTACACACTGGAGAAACAGCGTTGTTATGTGAGTCTAATTACTGTTCATTCATTGCTTTTAAATTCTTTCTAGTAGCTGAGTTCTAACACTAATTCAAGTGGGTGGAACATAAGGTAAAGGAAATATTTTCTTAATTTGTTATGATTTTAGTTCATAACTCTCGTGCAGTTTATAATGTATCTTAATTCCCTGTTGTGAATTTATGTTTGTCTAATTCTTTAGGAAATCCCATCCCTGTATTTATTGTGCCTTGGAAATTAAATGTCAGAATAATTATATATTAAATAATGAAATTAATATTGGATAAAAATTGTTAGAGTAATAATGTTTAGCAATCAGTTACCTTGATAAATTCAGAAAGTTGAAGTCAAATTGCTAGTAATGACATATCTATGATAAAAACCAAGGTCAATCTCATAGTTCTGTTTTAGGAAACAGTCTCAAAAATTAATGCTTATCTTCATAATCAGAACTCAAGGTACGGTCTTTACAGAAAGATTGACAGCTTTTACATTTATAAATCATTGACATATAATAGTATCTTAAGGAAAAACAACAGTTCTACCTGATTATCTTCTATTAGTCCCTTGCAATCAAAGTTCTTCTGACTTTTATTTGGCACACAATAGACACTTAGTAAGTATTTGTTGAGTGGATGAATGTCCATATATGGGAAGATACTTTTTTTCTTCCTTGTAAATGAAACTGACAGGATAAAATTCCAAATGAAGCATTTGTCAAATCCTGCAGAACTGTACACTAAAAAGGATGAATTTTACTGTGTATAAATTGTCCCTTAAAAAATTCTAAATGAATATATTGCATGCTATTTTAAATTGAACAGAAGCTGAATTTCAATACACCAATGAAGAAGTTAGAAATGAAACAACTCAATTGAATTCAAACATTTGAGAGGATCCCTTAATCCAAGACCTCATTCATATGGGAGAATATCCCCAGGGAACTAAAAGGGGACATGGCTGTAATAGTCTTGCTTTGTGAAGTGATACTTCTCAGAGATTATGCCATTAGAAATGAATATTTTCCTACTCAGTATCAGAATGTGCATGCTTTGGGGTATGTGTATAACAAGAAGCATTAGCAAAGTAGTGCTATTTATATCAAGCAATCTAACAACAATCTAACAACAAAATGTTTTATTTAAGAGACATAAACCAGGACTTGATATCAAGTTGCTGAATCACTTTCTAGCGTAATCCTGGTTTTCAATTTTTTTGTGTTTTATATGGATTTCTTTTTAGGTAAGAACTCTGTAGTGGGTACCTAGCTGTATGAAACATTCCAGTTATAGCATTAGACTTTTCCATGAGCTTCTAGAGAAAAAAAGTTTTGGTCAGTTTGGGCAGTTTAGATTAGTTAGATTAATTCAAATGCTGAGGAAAGCAAGAAAGATGAATATCCATGAGTCTAATTCAAGCCAACATATCAGCCTGTCTTAAACACTGGGAAGCTTCGGAGTCCCAAGACCACTCAGGGGCTTGTAGAATAGAGGACTTGGGAAAGGTAGTTCCAGAGAATTCACAGCTGTCTACTACTCCTCACTCAGTTTAAACAAAGCCAAGGCCAAAGTCTGAATATGTTTCTTCAGATTCCGGTTCAACATTTAATATTAAGTAGCTGATCATTTTCAAAAATCTAGTATAGCTTTGTTTTAATTTTTTTGAAGAGCAAATACTAAAATACAATTAATAAAAGCATTGTGATTTTTGGAAAGCATTTTCAGAAGGATTTGGCCATAAAATCTATTTTTGTCTTTTCTTTTCTTGATTGTATTTGTGAGGAAAGGAAAACTTGCAAAGCTTAAACAATTCCATGTACTCTCAAATAACCTCTCCTCTTATAGATCAATGCAACTGAATGTATTAGTTTAATAAATCCTTGACAACTACTCATTTTCTCTTTAAATCTGTTCTAGTATTTTAATTTCCTTTATTTATACCTTCTGCTTCTTGCATAAAATGCCATTCCTTTTCATCTTGTTGTGAACCTTTGTGGCTCCTAAGCTGGAAATCTTCTTATAATTTTACATATGGTCTGTGTTTGGTTGGATTGTTGTGGCTAATGGCTGTTACTTTAATTGTTTGTCTATGTTCCTTTGAGAGATGATCACTTTTAACTAGATAGTCTACCTTGGATTGAAGGTTTCAGGTTTTGTTTTTGGGATCCTGGGACAATATCATCTAAATTACCAACCATTTGCATCATCATGGTCAAAAGAATTTTTGAAAGTTTTCCTCTAATTTGAGAATAAAACAAAACCTGCTTATTCTTAAGTCTTCTCTACAGCACAGATCATTTAATACCCTGAATGCCATTGTCCTTCAAAAAGTCAGATGGACTTTTTTGAAAGTCAATGCTTTCTTTTTGTCTGAAATCTGTTTTCTCCAAATATATTATTACAGGTAAATAGTATATATATAACCTGGAAATTCATATCTCTTCTTAATAACTTCCTGGAATTTTGTAATGAACTAAGATACATGAGTATTTCTTTCTAAAATTTTTCTACACTCTTTTTCTTTTCTTTACTTTCCTACTCTTGGACCTTTGCTGATGGTTGAAGTGCCTTTGTTATGCCAAAGAAAAGTCAGTTTTAATGAACTGGTAACAGAACTTTTTAAAGACATCTTATAAACTTCATCTCAGAATGCAGTCCAAATAATTGGCTCTGAAAGCTGGTCAGATTTGTTTTTGTCAGCCTGGGAAAATCATTCCACAACTCTGTAAACATTAAGATGAAAGCACTACCCTAATGGCCAAGATACTTTGGCATTATCCTAATTTGTTGTTTTGCTATGAAAAGGCATGGTCAAAATGTTTTGATCTGAGTGCACTGAGGGTTTAGTTCTTAATTCTTTTTCACAAAATCAGTAAAGAACCATTTTTGGGATAAACTATGTGCAATTGTTCTCAGTCATTGATTGCTACATTATGGATAAAAGCAATTAAACCTTGATAAAAAGGGATGGCTTTTGTTCTTTGTTTTAAGATACTCACAGATACTTTAATAACTTTTATATAAATAAATGCAAAAATCAATCATGTTTACCTGGCATATAACTTCAGATATACCTCTTATTAAAATCATATGAGGTTTTTGACTCTAGGGTACATCATGCACCTGATGTCTTTTATAGGTTCAAAGACTCATTTATCATTGTAATCAGACTGAGCAGCCTATTCAGTGGCTATTATGTATAATTTTAGAAAATGGGTTTTAGAGACCTGATTTTAGGAAAAGCCATAACAAATCCTTTCAGATCTTATTTTAAAGCCACTTTCAATCATTAGAGCAAAGAAGAAGTGGACATTTAGATTTTTCAAAAAATGATCTCCATCTCCTGTATTTCAGTGAATGCTTACTTATGATTTTTTGTTGTGATACCATGAGAGGATCTAAATAAGTGGGGCTGATCTGGCTTGCTTAAAAGCAGTTGAAATGAAAAAAAAAAGTTCATAATAATTCACTGAAATTTTCATCTTTTACTACATTTCTCTCATAGGACACAAATACTGCTGACATCTTTGATGGAGGGGCTGCTGTATTGCCTAAAATGCCTATTTACCTTAGTGATACTCTGAGTATAAAAGTATGATTTTTTTCTAATAAATGTGAATTGTAGTCAAAATTCTGATGACCACTCTTCCTTAAAGGTCTGGCTCAAGGACCACTATCAAATGAACAAAAACTGGGGTTTCACACTTTGAAAATATAGAATGATGGCTAGTATAAAACAAATTAGGGTAGGAGCCCAAATTCATTAAACACATACAATGTGCCTTGGAGCTTTGACACGTATTATTTCTCAGAAAACAATGTGATTTGATCAAAAATAGGCAACTGTCTAGATTCTGATCATTCGAAATGGATTTTTGTGCTCATTTTGTTAGCACCTATCCTAAAATTAGATCGTTACAGAGAAGATTTGCCTGGTCTGTGTGCAAGGAAGCCCAGATCTCATTTCCAATTTTTTTCCCCCCAAATTTCAGGTAGAATATACTGTTTAAATCATTTCTCAGAGAAATTCTGGTTTGTTTTTGTCTTTCTGACCCTTGCAATGCAGATATCTATTGGCAACATAAAGGTTCAAACAGTACGTCTGCAGCCAAAGAAAACCGAACCACTTTGCACCGAAGTTTTTCAAAAATAGAAAGCTCTAATTAGAAGCAAGCAATACCACCACTGGACAGACAGGCCACAACACCGCGTTCACAGGATGCATCCCCCACTCACTGGAGTAGGCCCTAAGTCCTACCCCTAAATTTTAATACTTTCGGTTCCATATACGTTGTAACCTTCTCTATAGGTTGCTAAATTCTGGGTATTCTGCGAGGAAGTTGGGTTAAAAGTCTGTGCACTCTTTGCCACCTTCATTCTCTTCGCTTCTGCCCTGGACTTGTAACAGAACTCTATCAAAGCCACCAGCATTGCCAAGCCCAAGCCGCCAACCAGAATGTAGAAGACGCCTGCTACGTTGCTCAGGCTCAAGGCACTCGTCTTGTCCTAGGGGGATAAAGACACTTCAGTTAACTGCAGAAATGTCACATCCAAAAAGTTAAAAGAACACATGAAATTCAAAATGCCAATTAAAGTAGATGCTTAATTTAATCTGAAATTATTTACAAATATAAGTCACTGATACAGGTTTGGGGATTTAAAATATAAAGCTCATAGCTCTCGGGAGAAGTGAAATTATGATGATCACTAATAAATTGTATGTAATTACATTCAATAAAATCTGTAACATTTTATCATTATTAAATATGCAATGAAAACCAATATACTTAGCCATATATAAGCATTTATATATTTACATAGGGTGGCAGAAGTGGGCTTATTAATGTTCAATTTGAAAATGACATGTTTAAAATCCATTTACATGGGAAAGGGGACCTCATTTTGGCTTTGCTTTCATTAAAACATACTTTTAATGTTTGAGATTTCTCTTGAATAAATCTAACTCCACATTTCCTACTTGAGGAACTAAGGGTCTTTAAGCTAGTAGTCTCACATTTTGTTCATCATTACTTTAACAAATATATGCAAATAATGTGCTAGAGTACACATTATTTGTTCTTTCAGTTACATCTATAAGGGAAAGCTCATGTAAATGTCACTTTTGCATATTATATGTTATTTAGAAATAACTACTAATATATATGCATAACATGTAGGTGTTAAGCACATTTTTTTTGGTAACTTTTAAAAATACATAAATTACCATGGTCAATTGAGAAATAAATTATTTATGTATGGACAAATTTATAATTATTTTTATTGATTTAAAAATACAATTCCATTCCCTCTTAAAAATGCTCAATCAATTAATATTTTAGGCATACTCTTTTTCAGAGCTTCAGTTTACATATTGTCTCACAATAAATCCAGAATAGTCAAGTATATGACTGGAAGTAAAATTGTAACAAGAATTTAAAATTTTTTCATAAATATTAGATAGGTTTATTATAATATATAACATTATACCAAAAAAGTATTTTGCTAGACTACCTAAAGGATGCCCTGTGGCAATCATCTTCTCAGCAGTATATTTTATGCAAAATGAAGGCCCTAAAATAGCTTTATTAGGAGAATGTTTAATTTAAAAATGCACTATATATACTGTCAATGTAGTGAAAACATCAACTGACTAATCCAAAAATTTTAGGGCAACTTCATTTCAAAAATAATCATTCCTTAAGTATTTATGCTTCTCTGACTTTATATCAAGATTTAGGATAAAACTATTTCATTATCTGGCCAAGCTTGTTTCATTCCACTCTGGTTCAAAGGCAGACAAGTTATTAAAATACAGGGATAAGGTCTGAATTGGATCCATTAACCTTAGTTTGTCTTCTTAAATCAGCTGAGGCTCTCCTATTTAAAGTAGTCACTTGTTTAATGTCTTAGAATAACCAATAATTTGTTTTATTTCTAGAAGAAGATACAGAAAAAATAAGAGAATTCCAAGAATCTTCAACTATGGCTTTCAGGCACTGTTATTATATTAATTTGTGTAGATATTTAGATTCACTGATAAACTTATTTTTTTTCTTTAGGATAAAAATATAACTCTTTTTATGCTACTTTGATTTGTACTCAACAAATTAGGCCTACAGGTTTCTGCATGGTTTCAAAAAGAATTTATGATTAAGAGATATTAGAAATTGAGGATATTATTCATAAACATTGACTTATTAAAATAATTTCATTTGGGGGAGTAGAATTGGAAGGTCACTCTGTTTACCTCAACACAGGAGCCTCTTCAAACTAAAGTGGAATGCTTGGCAATTTAGTGACCAAAGCCTCAACTGAATAAGCATCTATTTATTATTTAGAATCTTTTCTTTTTCTGAATGACTACTATTCAATTTCCCATTTCCTGTTTTGAGAATACATCAGTTCTCAAAATAATACGATTTCCTGTTCTTTGCCTCCGAAACAAAAACCTAACCACCAAACACTACTTTTATTAGTGGTACGTAAGTTTGAGAATAATATAAGGAATATTATTTTATAGATTTTTGCAGTTAATGTAAGTTTATTTAAAAGCCTTGATATTGGGGAGCAGGTTGCAATTTCCTTAAAGGACAGCCCTCGAGGGTTGAAATTTATGACATTAGCTTTTAATTTAGGCAGTGGCTGAGTGTATAGGGAAATGTTCAGTTTTTATTATTCCCGTATACTTTTGACAATTGCTCCCGTTTACTGCTTTGTGAACACAAGAGAAGGCCCCGAACTGCAGCGACTGACCTTGCTTCCAGAGTCCTTGGGTCCACATTCACCTTTATCGTACCACCATTTGTTTTTCAGCTTGTCTAAGACGCCTGCCTCACTGAGTTTCAAAACGGCAAGGTTTACAGGAGTTCTTCACGTGGAAAATAACATAAATAACATTATATATGTTATTTTATGTTATTCAAGTAAAACTACATTAGAATCGCATGGCAAAGTGACAGAGCAGAGGCCACAGTAGGTGTTATGTCTCGTACTGTAGGCCCAGGTTTAGACTCAGACATAAAACTGGGGCCTGCTCCATCGCTTTAGGTAACAGGCACATACTGCTCGGGAGGATGCTTAAATAAAAGGTATGCAATTACTGTGAATCCAAAACTATTGGCGTTGGTTGGGTTTCTCGAACATATACAATTTTCCACGCCTAAATGTGGAGTTCATTCAAAATCCAGATGCTTCCCTCCTCCCTCTTTCAAAACTAAACAAGTGGCTGCAAGGTTGACAGGCTTTAATAGAAGCTAGATAGGACTGGTTTCATTTCTTGTACGTATCATGATTCAGCTGGTGGGATTTTACTTTATGCTGCAAAAGTATGTCCACAGTTTTCATTGTTAAATTGACTCTCTAACCACTTTCATCCAAGACCTACAAGGAGTGTGATTTCAGTGTCATAAAAGGCCACCCCATGCAGGGGAAGGTCCTCATGAGACAAATATGTAAATCGTTGTTTTAAAGAATAAGCCTATGCTGATATTTTCCTTCTGAAATTGCAGTATTTAGCATAAATAATATTGCCAGAGCAATTGTCATTTATCTTGAGTCTACCATATCAATATACTTTAAGAACAAGGCGAAGTGTCCTATAATAATTCTATCTACAAATAAATGACAGGTTAGAGGTAACTAAGATTTTTCTGAATAGACCAACTCTTCCTATGTTAAAGTCCTATTTTTCTTCTTTACCATCTTTGATTCCTTCAGCAGTAAATATTGTACAAGGAGTCTCAGGGAGGAAGATGTCAGTTACTACCCAGCATCAATATTCTGAAGAATTTAAGAATTCTTCCAGTTTTCATTGCCATATTATAGTATGAAAGCTGAGAAGATGGATGAGAAGCAGTAACTCCTAGGATCTTTGGCTGTTATTGTTTTTGTGTTTGTTTGGTTGGCTTTTTGTCTCTTTATTTATACAGACATCTAGGGACAGATTTGTTACATTCCTCTGGACATTTCTAAGACTGCCATAGTCATTTTGCCTGGCTGTATTGCCCAATGCCTGACTTCTTCTAGGAAATGTTGAGTAGATTTGGAGCAACACAGCATGTAGCAGATTGGTTGCCATGGAATTCATTCCATAAACCTATCTACACAATTAAAAAATGCATTAATAATGATGGTGATAATGATAGCTAATTGAGCACTTATTATGTATCAGGCACTATTAAAAGCATTTTATATGTTTGCTAGTACTCACATTTTACAAATGAGGAAACCAAGGCACAGAGAGCTTAATTCATCTACTCATACAGCTTGGCAGCAGTTTAATCAGGATTTGTGATAGTCTGACTTCATAGCTTGTGCAATTAATAATATTAATAACAGAAGACTCAGGAAATGAGATTTCTAGTTAATTGCGTTTTCTGTGTAACAGTCAAACTAAAACCCATTTTTATTGTGCTGCTTTAAAAATTTTTCTAAAATATACATTTTTCTTTTTGTTTATATGATTTCTGAATACAATTTAAATTTTGTATAAATGTAAGATTTTTACTACAGGTTCATTGTTCCATTGAAGAAGAAATATGCATTTTCCATGACCCTAGAATATTATGTTGGTTTTTGGATTAAAATCTTACATAAGCATGATTTAACACTTTCTACTAAAAGCTTGAGTTTGGGGGTGGGGTGAGGATTATGTTTATTTAGCCCCAGTTCATCTAGGTTTTTACTCCATTTATGAAGTGATTGTTATAAAACTACACCTGTAGGTTGACTGGTAAACTGTGAAGTCCTTGAGAGCAGAAGTCACATCTCATTCATCTTTGAAAAACAGTATTTTCCAGAGTATCTGACTCAGAGTAGACACTCTATAATGTAGCTGCATTTAAATTATTTTGAATCCAGAGCAAGATTTTTCATTAAATTGATCCTCTAAGGGTTTTTAGGTCCTCAAAGCATTTCTAACACATGTATAGATGAATGACATTAGCCTATACTGCAGTTCTTGAATGAGGTGGGCTGGGACAAGGAAGGAGGACTTAGTGCTGGAAAGAAGAGGAAAAGAAAGCAGAGAGTCTCCTACAAGTTTCTTCCAGAAGGGACACTTGAAGGCAAAATCATGGATTAGATGAAGACTACCTTTGGCTTCTCTTTCTCCCTTCTTAAGGTACTCTTTTCCCAGCCCCTTCCTCTTTCCTCTGGCTTCTTTATCCTTTTTGCTGTTCACTTCAGTGCCTGGGTTTTAGAGGCTAAGATTAGATTAGCATTTTGAATATAAGATTTTATTATTAACCATACTTAATGTTCAACTAGCAGAATATTAGAACAAAGAATTCATTACTGAAAGAGTCCTCCAAGGGCTAGCTTCCCTTCATGGTTTTTTTTTATAACATTGTTTCCTGTTTATGAATGCATGTTTTCTGCACTAATCCTTTTATTCTTGCACTGGTTTTCATGGCCGTGGTGAAGGGGAATAGATCATTTGTAAGTATAACATATAACAAAGGCAGCAATGGTCTGTATTCTTCAAAGTGCCAAATTAAATAACTGGAATTGTGTGTTCAAATATAATTCCTAAAGAAAACATTATTTGATAATCACACCTACAAAGTTATTTTTATATGAATATCCACTTCCATGAGTATGCATATTATATATATATATATATATATAATAGAAGGAAAATAAAGACAAAATAAACAGAAGAAAATAATTTTATAGCTATTATGTCCTATGGGTGATCCATGGTTACAGGCATTGCCAAAATCTCCAGCTAGAACCAGAATTAAACAACTCACATAAAAATTCACATAAAAGTCTGGGTATGGTTTGTGCTTAGACTAAACCATATTAGATTAATATCAAAGGGAAAATCAGTGTTAGCCATTATAGTCAATATTTTAAATAGGTTCATTGTCAATTAATAAATTTCTGTTATTGTATTCACAAGAACGAGTATGAATTCTTACGCCCATAACAAAAAGGACCACATTGCACTAATGTTAACATTACCTAAGGATCAAGTTTTCAAACAAACGAATTTGTATCTCCCAGATCATGCCTTTCTGCTTTAATATATTTCATTTCAGATGCAGGACCCTGTTGCTCATGTCTTTTTTTAAATTTTTATGTTTCAATTTGAAGCCTCCTGGCCAAGAACGGACATAATCAGAACTGCATAGCACTGGGAAGGGCTGTCAGGTGAGCAGGGATGCTCATTACTGCTTTGGGGTATGACGGGGAAGCTGCCACAGGGATGCCTAACGCTTCAGTTGTTGATTATTTTAAATCATAAGCTTCTTGAGGGAAAGGACAGTGGTTTTTTTTTCTACATTGCTACTGACCAGCACATTGCTCCATTAAAGCAGAAGTTTGAAACTTCCCTGCTCAATGGGTGGCTGGAAAGGTCTCCCTGGTTACAATCCTGTGAATGACAGATGAGTCAGTTGTCTCCTCACGGGAACCTTTTCATGTGTGGTACAGGTTTCCTCTTCCATTCTCCCTCCCCCACCCCCCACTCCATTAGATGAACCACTGTTAGATGAACTAGTGTTCTCCTACTAAAAGATTCTGTATTTGAAAATCAAGTAAGTCAGGATTTCGGCATGTTTGTGCTGAGCCCTCTGTGTCTTTTTCCTCCTACACTGCATTGGCCATGTTTATTTAATCTCTTCTGCTTTGGTTTCACACTCAACAAAGGCTGTGGAGCCATCTGTGTTCCTCATGTCAGTAGTTTTCCACTTATTTTACCTCTTTTGATGAAGATCAGGCCACATGGGAGGGGCAAGATAAGTTTACAAAGAAAATCAGTCACCTGAAGAAGGTACAAAATGAAAACAAAAAAGCAATTTACTTTGATCTAAGTTGGGTCAGGCCATTTTAAAATGTCATCTTTTATTGCAAACTCAGAGTTGAGTATCATTAACATTTAGATTGCAACAACTTATTGTTTTGGTGATAAACCTCACACCAGTATATAACTTATTTGAATTAATTTATTTTTTGGTATAAAAACAAAATTCTTGAGGAAAAATAGAGCATACTGTAATTTCATTTTGGGAGAGCACTTTATGTTACTTTTTATAACATTTTGGAAAACTACTTGTTAAAATCTGAAATAACATTTATTCTAAAACATTTTGTAGTTCATGTGTGGCGAAAGTAATATACCCCATAACTGTAAGGACAAGCAATTTGATTTTAGAAACTGCAAGGCTAGATTCATATTTATTCTTTTGGACAACAAGTATTTACTGAGTTCATTATGTACCAAACAATGTGTTGGATATAAGTTGATTAAATCTGACTGAGTTGTCCAGTCCATCTAAAAAAATTAAAATGACTTTGGTTACATAGATTTTTTTCCCCAATATATATATATATTTCTGTTATGCTTGTTTATTTTTCTTTGGAAAGAGTCTTTAATGTACACTAAAATGAGACTTCATTATTTATATTTGTAGAAAATTTTATCTGAGTTTTATTTACCAGTGTTATACTTCTCTTATATGTGTGATATAAATAAAAATTTGAAAACAACATTTTTCTAATGGAATAGAATATCTTTGTTTTTATTTTCTCTGGTGCTTTTATAGGACATTTTCTGGTATTTCCAGAGGAATGCTAGATTATTAGGATAAACTTGGATAAGTTTCTCTGCATATATATATATGCACATATTTATTTATTTTTATATGTTTATGAAAACTGTCAGAAATTCCAGGCAAGTTGAGGATCCAAAATATATATAACAAGTTTCATGCTCCTTAAGAGGGTGCCTAGAACTGAGGCATAGTTTATCCTTCCTCCTCCTGTTATAGTGGTGGCTGTTAGGTGGTAACATGTAAGTGAGCTCAGTTTGAAAGGATTTTTAGATCAGGGTCTGGGAAAGGTAATGGCAGCCTTCCTGACGGCCACTTCCTGAAAACAGAGCACTAGTCTCTGGGTTAGGCGGCCAAATGAAAGGACTTACAGCCCAGTGAAGGACCTGAAGATAGGCAGGATTTCTTGTTTTGGATAATTTTCTAGATTTCAAAACAAAGGCAAGAGTGTACACTTTAAAATTTTCATTATTCTTACATACCAACTGAAGATAGAGTTTTCCCATCTGTGGATTTTCTTTACGTCTATAAACACTGAGACATAGTGAAGAAAGGTTCTGCAACCGTAGTTAATATATTCTGTTAATTGTATATCTTTTTTATTCTTTAGACACTGCTTAGAAATTTGAACACATATTATGAGACTGAAGATATGATGTAAATGAAGACCAAGCCGAGTTGATCTTGTTTTAGTAGCCTGGTTATTTTGCAATTTGATCCATTTATGGAGAGCTAAAAATATCTAGTGCATACGACTATCTTTGATTTGTTATTTAACTTTAACAGAAGCCTGAGAGTTTTAGATGGAGAAAGTTTTCTGGTTGGTCTTCTAGATGGGTCTTGGTGGAGTTAGGTTATTGCTGTTACTTAAATAGTGAAGAAAACAAAACAGACTTACCCTCTCTGTTCTCTCCCCTCGCTTCACTGAATTGCTCTTTCAGAAACTTGCATCCCTTCCTACTTTCCAAAACCAAGGTTCACAGGACTGTGATGTCCGATCCACAGGCTCTTCAAAGCCAGATCTTTTCAGTGACTATTTTCATTAGGTTTGTTCATGTGCCACCAAATTGATAATGGTTGCAAATATTTTTGCGTTGACAGTAATTGCATACTTATGTTTGTGAGGGGACTTGACTAGCAATGCGACTGGTATCAGTAGGTCCAAACCATAGTCTCCCAGCAGATGCACCTATTACTTTACATACTGTTTACCCGCTTTTGGTGACATTGAGGCTAACCTTGGAGTCACCTCCCCCGCTGCCACATTCTCCTTTGTCGTACCACCATTTGTTTTTCAATTTGTCCAAGAGGCCTTGTTCATTCAGTTTTAAAACTGCGAGGTTAACAGCATTTCTTGAAACGATAAAACATATTTTGTAAGAAACTGCACAGCTGTTAAGATATTAGAAGGAATGAGGACTTAAGCTCTTTTATAAGCTTCTCCCAGACGCTAAATAAACCTCTCATTTTGCCATCCTGCAGCCCCTTCCACCAGAGTCCAAACCAAAGGCAATTGTAACTAATTCCAAACGTATTAAACATGCAGTATTTGGTGCTCTTCACTTTTATAGTTCATTTATTGTCAAATAACTGATCTCATCATCAACCAATTACATGGTATTTTTTTTTTTTGCAAAACAGTAATAAACTTGAATTTACTAGTAATTGAGAAAGAATTGTGTGTTGAATTCCTTTGCCGCTAAGAATGTCAACAACTCAAAAGAGACTGAAATGAAAATTCATTCCCAGAAGGAAAAACAAAATGGCATAAACAAACCAACAAACCAGCCACTGATTTTTGAGTACTGATTTCCTAACAGCAAAGAGTATGGCTTAATCATTAGTCCCTTTATTATTTGTGTGGGTTTGGTTTGTTTGTTTGATTTAAGTAGTCTCCAGAATCTAGGATTTCCAGGTCAGTTCAGTTTCATGGGCTGGAAGTCACAGGATAGCAGCAGAAAAGGTTTTGTATCTAAATTTTGTGTTGATTTTAAAAGGCATTGGATGCTATGTAGAAATTAGGATCACATATCCAATTTGACTGCTTAAATTAAGTAATTAAGCCCCAGGAAGTCATGCGGCATATGATATGGACTTTGCAAACAAACACTCTAGATTAGATTGCCTCCATGTTTATCTCTTTAGGGGTACAGGGGAAGAATATTGTAATTATTCTCCAAGAGGAATAAAAAATATGTCATGGGCTTTTGCCTTCCATGCATTTGGTTTCTTTCCTGTTTTCAAGTTATAGTTTTTCAATGACCCATGAACTGTTTCAAGAGGTTTTTACATTGTTTAATGAAATTTCTGTTAAATCTAAGGAGTAGATTATATATTGAGGGAATGTAGTTTGTGTTATGCTATTTGATAAGCACTGAGTTTGGTGATTATTTAATGCCAAATCAGTTATAGATAAAAGAAAACAACAATATTAAATAGCCTTTGAACACTGATTTGCAAATGAAATGACATTTAGTGGACTAATAAAAAATGTTGCATGTTTTGCCATTAATCAGCTAATGAAAGTGTTTCTTCTCTTAACAAGTTTGGGTAATATTTCAGGTAAACAATGTGCTTTTCTACTGTTGTGAGGGTCTGATCCAGTTAGAGGGTAAACAGTTCTCATAAGTAAACCACATAATTTGGGAGTATTAACTCTTCTTAAGGGTTAGACTGCCCATTTGCTAAATGCTAATTAAATAATTAGCTGTTCCTATGTTTTCAAGTAAATGCCATATTGGTGGTATAAAATAATTAATATGCTTTCTAAAGTGAATAGTATCAGTTTGTCAGTTTAATAACCAAAAGGAACTGATTGAAATGTAGGAGTGAATAAATATTCAGTGATGACAGAGACATCTATTAAAAAAAATTCTGTTGGGAGAAAGGAATCATTTTAACTTATTTTGTGTCTACAGGAAACTATATTTTTCTTTCAGTGAATTAAAGCTAACTACTAAAATTTCTATTTTGGAGAAAATTACTTCTATAACCCACTTTACTTTAGATTTAATCATTCATATTAGATTTTTAAAAATGAAGTGGTATTCCAATTATTTTATATGTTGGTTTAGACCATTCCTTTGATAAAACTAAAATCATTTCATGAGAGGGTTATTTAACAGGGTTATTAGCCATATCCAAAGACAGTTTCACAGCACAATAGAAACAAAAAAGCAAAATAAAGGAATGAATAAGGAAAAAACGCTTTTAGGTTGAGAAAATTCTTTGGAATCAAGCCTTCTACAAAATTATTCTAAGACATTGTCTTTCTAATACCATCTATAGGCCATGTAAAAAACAGTTTAGTTTCACACTGCTATCCATATGTGTGTGTGTGTGTGTGTGTGTGTGCGCGCGTGTGTGTATTTGGTTGATATTATACATTTGACCAATAGTTAAGTCACTGCCTACTTCACCACAAATCCATGTTTTCCTTCCAGAAACCTGTGATCTCTCAATAAAGTCTACTTTATACCATCATATATGAAGTTTACATTTCTTTAATGATGCATAGCAGAGGCACTTTGTAATTAGTATTTGGAGATAGTCTTTAGTATTTCAAGATTTCTTTGTGTGTAAAAAATGACTTATTTTCTACGATTATATCTGACTAAGGATGTAATTTCCTCATATAACACGTTTAGGTCTAAAGGCCCTTCTTGGATTGCTATTTAAACTTCAACATACACCACGTATATAATGACCATTTGGACATCTGTCCTATTTTATGGAGTGAATCACTTCTACATGTTGTTAATAGTAAGAATTGTCACATGACTTTTTAAAAAATGTATCAAGTTTCTTCACTCATTTTCCTAGACTAGGTTGAAAAGTACTTTTTATCCAGCCACAAAAGAAAAAGGAACCCTACAGGGGTAATATTAGCAAACATGGCTAAGGAGGTTATAAGAAGTCAGACAAATGAGGGATGTAGAAAGCAGATACTTGCTGCAACAAATTTATTATTGTTTTGAAATCCCTTTAAACATTTGAGATGTAGACTTCAAAATCAATGTCAGAAACTCATATTGATTATGAGGGATATTCTTGCCATGATTAAGCATCAGAGAAGCTGTAATTGTGATCTGCTGAGCAGATAAGAGATAGAAAAATATTATGAGGTATTTCTTTTATTAATTATTCCTTTTATTGTATTAAATGCAGCTTTTACAGGAAAAATTCAATTGAAATAGATCGTTTTCCATTTAAAAATGGAAGGAAAAGAAAATATAACAGTAATTGACCACATTTTTGCTGGATGTGTAAACCACATTGGAGAACCAGGGGTGTTGACAATAATTTTTCATAGACTGAAATAGGACCCAGGTAACTTATTTTCCTTTGCCTTTTATTCCTCGAGGGAAGTCTAGGTAAGAAAAACTTCTCCAAATAGCTTTTTTTCATAGTAGTGAGATGATGGGGAATTTTATTTAGGGCTGGAATAAAAATGCTCACCTGATCAAATTCCAGGACCACTGAAAAACTTCTAAAGGTTTTTATTTCTGGAATTTCCTTCAATCAAATTAGATTTTAGATTATGAAAATCCATACTTCACTGCCCTAGCATCTGGGACCCATTTTTGTCAATGAGAATTATGTTGAAATGCCACATTGAAAAAAAGCTTTAGAAGGGAACTAACACATGTAAACTTTTTAAATTTATTAATTTTGGGTAAATTAATCTAATGCTAAGTAAGTTTTTTTTTTTTTGCAAAAAAACATGCTTAATCCAGGCTAAGACATTTATCTCTTACTCTTTACCCTTTCGTAAATAACTTATCACTAAAATCTATCGAGTTGGATATGCTTCTTGCTTACTTTTATGCCTTACTCATTATATTTACTTCTAGACCATATTTCTTATAGTGTAATTTCTCTGTTGGTGAGGTATTAAAGTATACATCTGATCATATTTTTACCTAAGAAAATGGGGCAAATTTTAAAAGCTTAAGTATTTTTATGATTTCTTGGATTTTTAAATATTATTATAAAGGACTTATGATACAAACCCTTAGGCAGGATATTCACAAACAGGATATGATACAAACCCTTAGGCAGCACATATAGTTTGTAGAATAAATATAATAATTTGCAATATTATCTTTAGTCTGGTTAAAACACATTCAATTCCATCTTCCTAGGATGACCATTTTATTGTTGGTTATTGATGTCAAAAGTGTATGGATTTAATGCAGTTTATTTGTCTTAACTACTGTGTAATGGTGCTAGTACTGTGTTATTCTTATAAGACATCCATTAGTTACACAGGTTGAATATCCCTAATGAAAATCTGAAATCTGAAATGCTCCAAAATCTGAGTGCTGACCTGATGCTCAAAGGAAATGCTCATTGGGGCATTTTGGATTTTCAGATTAAGAATGCTAAACAGCGGTGTCTCACACCTGTAATCCTAGCACTCTGGGAGGCTGAGGGGGGCAGACTGCTCGAGGTCAGGGGTTCGAAGCCAGCCTGAGCAAGAGCGAGACCCCGTCTCTACTATAAATAGAAAGAAATTAATTGGCCAACTAATATATATAGAAAAAATTAGCCGGGCATGGTGGCGCATGCCTGTAGTCCCAGCTACTCGGGAGGCTGAGGCAGGAGGATTGCTTGAGCCCAGGAGTTTGAGGTTGCTGTGAGCTAGGCTGACGCCACGGCACTCACTCTAGCCTGGGCAACAAAGCGAGACTCTGTCTCTAAAAAAAAAAAAAAAAAAAAAGAAGAAAAAAAAATGCTAAACAGGTTAAGCATAATGCAAATATTCCAAAATCTGAAAAATATATGAAACTGAAAACACTTGCAGGGCCCCAAGCATTCTGGATCAGGGATACTCAACCTGTGTATACATGAGAAAGTTTCCTTAATTTTAGGTCTATGATCTCTTCACTGAGTGCTCTATTCCTACTATACCCTCTATAAATTTTAAATATCAAGTGTTAAAATGTCCAGAATATTTACCTGAATGAGTCTGGGAATTTTTTTTATAGTCCTCAATAAATCTTAATAAAGTTTTGAAAAACTTAAAAAAATTATATGACTCAACAAGAAAGTGTGTAAAAAGAAATCGTGTAAAGAATTGTGTAAAGAAATGAGAAAATTTCTTTAAATCAGCAGAGGACATTGATAGATAATTTATGCAGGAAGAAATACAAATCATATAAAAATGATTCAATCTTACTTGGAATTAAACTAATGTGAATTAAAGCAATGCAAATTCATTCCTTGCCATTCATACTAGGAGAGATAAAAGTAAAGATAATGCTCAATATTAGTCAAGGATTTAATAAAATGGGCATTCTCATAAGCTGATGATAGAATTAAAAACTGGACAGAAAATATTAAAAGTTGAT